TCAGAGAGTTGGGCAATGCCCAAGGAGGATAGAAGGAGAATTGATGCCTTTGAGCTGTGGTGCTGCAGAAGAGTATTGAGAGTACCATGGACTGCTAGGAAAACAAATAGATTCATCCTGGAAAGGGTTAAACTATTTGGCTCCTTGGAGGCAAGGATTCTGAGGCTCTGTCTAACATCCTTTGGACATGTTGTAAGTAGAGACCGGTCCTAGGAGAAGGACATCATGCTTGGGAGGGTGGAGGGACAGCGCAGGAGAGGAAGGCCCTCTATGAGGTGGATTGATTCAGTGACTGAGACAATCGGGATGGGAGTGTCAGAGACAGGGCGATTGGCACAGGACAGAGCAGAGTTTAGGGCTGTTGTACACAGGGTCAACTATGAGTCACAAGTGACTCGACAGCACATAACAACAACAACTATTACTCTTGGGCAAATTAGGGTAGTAAAAGTAGTTAAAAATCAGTGGAGAGTATGAATGAGTGAATGAAAATGCAGTACTATTTGTAAATTTTCACTCTAAAGATAGATTTAAAAATCAGTTAAGACAAAATAATAAAAAATGTTTCCTTACTGCTAAAACAAAAGCAAATTTAAAAAATTCAAAAGACTACAAAAATATTTTTATAAATATTTAATAATACTTGTATTTCCAATGATTGATTGAAGGATATTTTATCATCACTAAATATCTTACTTTTATAAATACGTACCTGTAAAAATAAGTAATTGGGTAGCATACTGTCAAATGAAGGGCTGAGATATACTGGTTCTGTCATTCTTATGCCTATTCCTCTGAAAAGTAGGAAATCTAAAATTAGTACATAGAAATTATATGAAAGAATATTTCTAAAAGCACAGCCAAATAACATGTCAACTATACAGCCTCCTTTACCTTTTAAATATTTTTTACTAAACACCAAAACATTGAAAATATTTCTGTGAATTGTTTTGAATTTCTCTGTGCAGTAGTGAAGAGACTTCGAGGATAGCTAAAATGAATAAAATTAATAAATATTTAATTCAGACACAAATGAGTCTCTTAAAGATTTTAAGAGATGAAAATGCAAAGAAAATATGTATTCTTGGTTTTTGTTTCATTCAAAATATAAATGTTTTGATGGTTTATGATCATTGTTACTAGCTTTTTAATTCAATAAATATTCTGTGAATTCTTTTTGGTTTTCAAAACCTGGTGCAGGGCACCTGTAGAGAAAATGAAAATCCTCTGAATCATGCTCATGCAAACCAATGACCTATGTGCTACACTGCTCTCCTCTGATCTCATTATAGAGTTAACTGCTAGGTACTGACACAACCTTCAAATAATCTGCAACAGGAAGACCCAGACTTAAAATGGCAGTGTGTGACTTATAAAGACAATCAGGCTAATGAAAAAAAAACAAACCAGACAATCTGTGACTTGTCAGAGCCTAGCCGTGAGAAGAGAAAGCATACAAGTACAGCAGGAGAAAGCCACATACAGCCTGGTACACACAGCCAAACCAGAGGAAGTAAGATAATGGGGTAATGAAAGCAGCATTTCAGATATTCTTAGAAGAGCAAAAAAAAAGTGCAATCTAATTACAGGAGCAAAGGTAGGCATCAGGATTTAGACCAGGTATATGGGGACAAGCGGAATCCAAGTCTGAAGAACAAGTCTGAAGTCTTCAAAGACAGTGTGGTAGCTTAGTTCTAGATAACTATCTTATAAACTGATCTTGGTTGAGAAACACTTACACAGAGGGCTTATATCCTACTTGATGTAAGCAAAATATATCTAGGCTGCTCATTAGCATGAAATAATTTCTGTAAATATTTGCAGACTGTGACTGCAGTAGATATGACTTTGAGCTCCCCTCATTTGAACTATGAATTCATCTTTCAGCATATCAAAATTGTTAGTTAACTCATTTTTTTTTCTTCTTCTTCCCATTCCTTTACCTCTCCACACATTCATTTACTTTATGAAGTCTTTAAATGTGCTTTCACTCTTAACCAAAATGAAGCCTCTCTCTCTACTGCAGTCAGGATCAAACCAACCTACTGTATTCATCTCCCAAATAGTTCCTGCTCCCAGGCCCCCACAGGAAACACAAAAAGGAACCCTCAAGTCCTTTCTTGAAAAATCTTTACCTTTTTTATTGATCAATACCTCACATCTCACCCAGAGTCTAGACTTCCTATTGAATGCCTATTGAATTCCAAGACCACTCACTGCTTTGTAATGTAAATGGTTTTGTGACTTGCAGGTTTCCAGTCCTAGGAAATAAAATTAAACTTTTAACGCTTCATACTTTCTACTTAGAGCTTCTCTCATAAAGGTTAAAGCCTTGGAACCTTTATGAGACAGTTTCACTCTGTCCTGTGTGGTCAACATGAGTTGGAGTGATGACTTTAGACCAGGTCTACTATTACAGTGAGTCCATATATAGAGTATTTAACTAGAGATAAGAAAGATCATTTAAGCCACTGTTTTAAGTACAGGAGTAGAGAAATTTCTTTTTTATAGTTTAGCAACATTACCATGTAATAATGTACAAGATCTCATATCATAAAACAATCTATTAGTAAATTATTTTGACTCTTAAGAATCTTTGGTTGATTTAATCCAAATAGAATTCAGAAAAACCAGAAGTGTACCAGTTCTCTAAAAAAATATACCATTAATAGGGTGGATTTTAAAATTTTAAAAGAATATTGATAAGAAATGGTATGTACACAATGTTTTTTGCCTTGTTACAGAAATGTGTTTTTCTAACATGAGAAGGCACTACATGAGAAATCACCACAGAACTAAATAAATTGAATTAAAACCAACCCTTTTTTAAAAGATAACTGTGTCCTATTTCCATCAACAAAGATAACATTATTCAGAAAAATCTGTTACAGCAAAGTAAATGGAACCATCACATCAAGTAAGATAGCAAGGTAAAAAGTGCCCTTGTAACAATGAATAGAAGACACAATCAAAATATCAATTATCTATTATAGACCCTCAGATAAAAAATTAATATGCCACATTAACATATGTGTGTGTGTGTGTGTGTGTGTGTATATATGTGTGTAGAAATATATATATATATAATCTTTGTATTTATAAAGCCTTCTGTATTGCTAGTGCCCTAGAATTAATTTCAACTAACCCTGATTCCATGTGACTGAGAGAATTGCCCCATAAGTTTTTCTAGGAGGTGGAGTCAGCAAATAGGTTCAAACTGCCAATCATTCAGTTAGCAGCCGAGTGCTTAACAGTTACGCTATCAGGGCCTTCTTGTTTGGGCCATTTGGAAAGTACTGCTAGTTCCAGAGAACTCAATGCCCTGTTTCTGCCGAAGAATCAATTCTTAACTATAAATCCGAATTTCTGAAATTTTAAAAATTTTTCTAGGAATCAAGTATGTGGTCTGTCTACTCCTGGGTAAATAAATTCACAGCTTTCAGCAGGTCTGTGTCAGCAATCAACTTTGGAATAATAACGCTAGCCAAAAGAATTCTCAAAACAGGCTGAAAAATCAAATAAAAGCATGATTGTCCATGGATTTCGCTTTTTAGATGGAGTGGCTACTAGAGAGAAATTAGAACTAGATTTTTAACTCAGTTGGTACAAATTCAAATGTATATTAGATAAGCCATAAATATCAGTGTTCTGATATATATATTTCTAATTTTTAAAAATTTGTATTGTTAGGGGAAAAGGTAGACAATATCTTCTCTTGCCATTTACAGCCTAAGAAATCCAATGTAGTGTCAGTTTCAACTCAAGGACAATGAGAATGAGTACAGTTATATTAAAATTATACGCTTTTATAAAATAAGAATATCAGAAAAGATCTGGAAAAGTCATCAAATGAATTATCTATCAAAATATTCTATAAATATTATTCTAAGATATAAAAATATTCAAATCAATAAAATTCAAAAAGACAAGTAAAATTATTTAACAATTAGTGGGAAACTATTTCCTGGATCTTCAATCTGACAATTGAGCTAGAAATATTTCTTTTTCCCCAAAATCATAGAACTTGAGGTAAGTGATTTTATTTTACCAACTGAATTTATGGGAATATGTTAATTGTATAATGCAACTACGTATATTCTTAAAATTGTTTCTAATTTTAAGCACAAAATGGATTTTCCTCATATAACACCCTTCAACATACTTTAATTTAGGAAGCCCACTGAAGAGTTCATTTCGGCTTAATTCAGAAATCCCATTCCCAAGAAATATTTTGCATCCATCAAATTCTTTGGCTCCTTTCTTGCATTCTCCATTAATATCAGAGTACACAGAAACAGTATCTCCAGCTTTCATAACTAGAGGAAGAAGAAAATTAGGTTACGTTCATCTATATTTTTGTGTGAATCTATAATTTCTGAAAGAATTTGACAGTGGAAATTCTCTCAGTTAAACAAGTAACCAAGAGGAGTATCGATAGTATGTATGAAGTAGTTCACTATCACAATACAATTCTTAACACAATCTCTGGCTTTTCACCTTTACATTTTCCCTAATAATAATATAATTGATTTTTTAAGGGAAAAAGTAAGTAGAAAAGAATTCAAAACACTGGAAGTCTTCACCTGAGAAAATCAGGAGTATTATCTATATAAGTAATTTTCACCAAATCTACACTGCCTAAAAGGCATGTATCTTGGACTCAAATCTCAAAGGTCTACACTTTCTTCAAAAAGATTCATCAAAAATGTCCACTAAAACCTCCCCATGATATCTTCCTAAATCTCACAACTCTATTGATCTTTGTCGTTACAAGATTATGAAGGCAAAAATTTTAATAATATACACATAGATTAACTTATGCAGATATTGTTATATAATAATCAAGTCAGAATTGATTCGTGTGTGTGTGTGTGTGTGTGTATGTACCAGAACTCCCTGTATATGTACTCTGTGTGTGTGTATGAATGAACTAGGGAATTCTGATGACTTAGTACTAAGGAGTTGCACTGTCAACCTAAAGGTATTTGGTTCAAATCCACCAGCTGTGAGAAAGATGGGCTGTCTCCTCCCTTGCTATTTACTGCCTCTGAAAACCCACTGGAGAGTTGTTTCTGACCAAACAATACATACACATACATATATTATATACGTAACCTTTGAACACCTTGATATTGTACAATATATAGAATTTATATGATTGAGTAAATATCTTTTTCTCATTTTATTAGCTATTTTCAGTAACAAATAATTTTAAGGTCTAACCTAGTATAAATTTGTTTAACTCTTTAATCTGACAAACAGTAGTGAACAGCCTATCAGCTAGAGCTGGGAATGCTAAAATCATCCTGATCTAGGGTCAACAGCATTTTGCAGCTTTAAAAAGGAAAACATGTTACATAAAAACAGACCATGAGCCAGCCTGCAGTCAGGTGCTGTCAATCCCTGGCCTCGCTAAGCCCAAACCCCACAGAGGTTGAGTTGGTTCAGACCCTCCTTCCATCAGGTTTCACAAGGTGCAAATCTTTTGCAAGGAGATGGCTACCTTACTCCATTGACGTCGCCAATGGATTCAAACCACTGATTTGTAGGTTTGAAACCCAACATGTAATGCACTACATCAGCAGGAGCTCCTTTACATTCTGGCATAGATCAAATTGTTCATTTCATGGAAAATTACAACCCAGAAATTAAATAAGTAATCTTCTAATGGATCTAAACCAACACTTCTTGATTTCAAGTCCAGTAGGGTATTACTGAACCACAGTAACAAACTTAAAAAAAAAACAAACCACCAAAAAAACCCCTCTCATTGCTGTCAAGTCAGAACTTATTCATAAGTGACCCTCTGTTGGGTTTCCAAGTCTGAAAACTGGCCCATCTCTCTCCATAGAATTGCTAGTGGATTCAGACCAGCAGAGAGGCACCAAGCAGTACAACTCCCTGCAGAGTATGCCACTGGACCTTCCTTAACTAACTTAGTAAGTCATGCAATATGTCTTCTAGTGGGTAAATAAATTAAGAATACCAAATTGCATCCTCATGGTAAGATGCAGGTTTTTAATGTTACTCTCATAAATGAGAGAAGAGATCTGAGTGTTTAGGGCAGTGGAACCAGAATATAAATGAAATTTCATTGACATCTTAAGGCAAATCTGCTGCTCTTGAGTTAATTCCAAGCCAGAGCAACCCTACAGCACAGAGAAGAACTGCACCGGAGTTTCCAAGGCTATAAAATTTTTCCCTTGTGGAGTGGTTGGTGGGTTCAAACCATCAAACTTTTGTTTAGAAGATGATCTTTAATCACTGCACTAGCGAGTATCTCCTAAGAAACATCAATATATATTTTATATCCAAATTTTTTAAAAAATTATGATAGAACCTTATATAATGCTGAATGGTATAGTCTATATGAGATAAAGCTCTCCCTAGTTGTACTAAGGAAGCTCTGGGGGTCTAATGGCATGGAGATGCACTGACAACCCAAAAGCACAGTTTTAATTCACCAGCTGCTCTGCAGGAGAAAGTTGGGCATCTCCTCCCCGGCAATATATACACATACAGCTTTGGAAAATCTACTGGAGGGTCAGCTCGTGAGTTGATTCTGACTCAGTAGCACAGAACAACAAAACAGTTGTACTAAAGGTAAAACTAGAAAATATGTGACAAAAGTAAATTTTAAATATTTCTAAGTATTAATTCTATTTGATAATGAGCATACATTTTAAAGAACCTTTGCTTTCCAAAGAAATCTACTTACATTTTGAAGCTGATACTATTCCTGGAGCATAGACATGGGCTCCTCTCAACACCGCATTGCCACATTGGGCTCCAACAATGGCTTCACATTGTTGTTTTTGAATATTCTTCCTAAGATGAAAAATGAGACATTTAATAGAATGTATATACACAAAGCTTACTAACTTTTTAATGTTTTAATCTAAGTCCTAAAGACATCACAATTGATCCAAGATATACTGCCACTAAGGATTAAATGAGAAAAAGAAATCTGAGAGATAAAACCACCAGAAATTCTTGGCGTGACGGGGAAGATGCATTTGAAGGGGGGAAAAAAAGAGTTCTATATAATGAAAGGCAATATAAGAGCAATAAAAATTTCTTATTTAATAGATCATCTCATAAACATAACTATAACAGTATCAAGAGAGATAACAAAGTTCTCTCTTCAAAGACTACAACAAACCAATATTTAAGGAATTCAGACACACACAAGAAATTTCTAAGTGGGAGAAAATTAGATAGCAATTTATGACTAATCTACATAGACAGAATTTTTTTTTACCTTTTTTTGCTATCTGTTCATCTTTTGTTAGTGTTTTGCTTTCTTCAATTTCTCACCACCCATTCATTCCTTAGACAACTAAATTCTGGTAAAGTTTCTAGTACTAACAAACTATTCTTTTCAACGGATATTCATGATTGTGGTTAGAATCAATTCTCATTTAACAAAAGATAGAAACCATCTACTTATCCATCATATAGTGAAGCTAAGTCAATCATAACAAATATTATGTGACCTCAATTATACAAAAAAGACAAGAACAGAAAAATGTACAGAGACCAAACTTATTAGTGGTGATCAGGCTCAAGCCTAACGGTAATTGTGAGGATGGTGTGGGATTGGCCAGCATTTCATTTGGCTGCACACTGTGGGGCACCATGAACTGGAGTCTACTCAACAGCCCCTCATAACAACAACAATAACAAGAGGCATGAAGAAGGGGGGAAGTGGGAGTAATTGCCTATGAAGCAGTGAGGCTTTGTTTATTGGGATGAAAAAGTCAGATTACTTATAGGTACTGACTGCACACAGTCAAGTATACTTGATGGCACTCTACATGTATAAAAAGTTGAACTGGCAAATCTTGTGAAATACGTATTTTTTAAACAAGAACAAGTGAGGCAATGAATATAAAGAAGACTGAAGAAAAACTGATGCCTTCATGGGGTAGTATAGGCAAAGAGTTTAAATATATACCATGGACTTCCAAAAAAAACCAAACAAATCTGTCCTGGATGAAGTCCACATCAGAGTATTTTTTAGAAACAAAGATGGTAAGACTGTCTCACATACTTTGGATATATTATCAAAAAATGCTTGTTCTGGAAAAGGATGCCATGCTTGGAAAAGTAAAGGATCATCAAAACAGCAGAAGACCCTCATGAGATGGCCTGATATACTGACTACATTAATAGGCTTAAGCACAGCGGGATGGAACAAAGTTAGGCAGATTCTGGTATGTTGTGCACAGGGTCACTATGATTGAAGCCAACTAGATGGGACTGACCAATAATTATGACTCTAATAATAAAAAATTATCTGGCTACTATATTCCTTGCAGAAAATATCCCTTACACTTCACAGCTTGCCTCTCCCAACTTCTTCAGCCTCATCTTTAGCTGTACTTTAGGAAATTCTGTTCAGTAGCCCAAGTGAAACATTTTGGCCGTGTACTGCCAGAATTTCTCATGCCTCTTAGTATGCCCTTGACCTCCTCATGAGCCTATTTCCTGCTCATATGCTAATTTTAGTTGAATTTGCTGGGAGAAAAGTTCACTTCCTTGTAGTCAGTCCTTACTCTACTGTACTGTATGGCTCTTAATTTATTCTATTTGGCACTTGTGAAACTGTCTATGACTAAGAGAGGTTTAAGAACAAATCACAGAATGCACAAGGAAAAGTAAGAAGAAAGCTATTAAAAAGAAAGCAATTGGACAGCATGCAGAAAAACATGAACTGGCTCGAGACTGGGTCTCAGACAAGCCTGACTATAGGCTGGGCTCTCAGCTGTATCAGCAGGGCATTTGGTTTTTGGCACGTTTCATATGACTCCACTACAATACTTGGGAGCCTGTGCTTGGTTTCCTCCAAGGAGTTTCCTTGTTCCATGAGGGTTTTGGTTTGCTGACTTTATTTTCTTTTTAATTTAATTGATGTGGGTGACAGTCGGTAAGGGCAGAATTATTATAGTGCCTTTTGTGAGAGAGACTCTGATTTGATTTCTGTGCAACACACCTCATGGTCTTTCAATAGAGGCTTGCATATTGCTATGATGTTGTATAGGTTTCAACAGAGCTACTGGATTTAAATGGACAAAGAAGAAAAGACTAGAGAGAAACATCAGCCAATGTCACCATCATAGTAGTCCAATCTCCCACCAAATCATGGGACTGGTGCAGGATTAGGTAGTAGATTTGTTCTACTGTGCATTGGTCACCATAAACCAACGGCCAACTCATGGCAGATGGAAATCTCTCATGGAAATTTACTGCCACTGATAATCTGCTGGAGGGACAGCTATGAGTTCAGGTCCAACTTGATGGCACATTAAAACAATTTATCAATGTAATAAATCTCAGCCAGGAGTGTGACTATGCAGACGCCTATGAGACTACCTTCTAGCAAACCACAAAACCTTAGGATGGCTTTAGAGAACCCACAACATAGGAAACATATGCAATGAAAATCCAACATTCAAAGTAAGGGTGCCCTTATATGAAAAATACATAAAATGTAACTGGAAAGATCTCTAAAGAAATAACAAAAAATGATACTAAGATTTGTTTGCACCTAGTAATTAAAAAGATCAATTGTTTTTCTTAAAAATTGAGAGAAAATAATCAAAATGAAAATATGTCCTGACTCCATTTCTGAAGTTTAATGAATAAAAAGCCCATAGAATGTCAAGCAAAAATGAAGACAAAAGTCAGTTCTCATTTTCAAATTCTAAATTTTTCTATCCATCAAAATTTGTAGCACAAAATTAGTATTATAAAGCTTTCATAGTCATGTGCAGACACACCTTATAAGGGTAAAAACAAATTACAAGAAAGGAAAAAATAAAAAATAAAACTTGGGTTTTCTTGACTATAAACTCTCTATGAACAGATTGCCAGGGCTCTCACTTGTGTAGCTTTGTTTGAACCACCAACCTTTAAGCACAAATTGTGCTGCTTGACCATCAGTTCTCCCAACTGAGGGAAAAAAATGGGTGAGAGGCAGACTGTCCTTTTCCCTTTCTTAGAGCATTTACTTTAGAAAAGTAGGAAGTTGTTTCTCTGCATCTACAAGCTGAATATGAATTCTTTTTAAAACTAAATATCCCTCTTCTCAATTTTACAACCCAGGAAGACATGGGAGCCACCTCTTTGAATTATAATTGATCAAGGAACATAGTACACCATCTCCCAGTTTTCTAGGACAGATAGAAGCCTAAAATCAGTTGGCACTTGATTCCAAGTTGCAAAACTTCAGTCATAAAAACATGAGTACTTAATTTTTTTTTTTACTTTGAAAAAATGATATCCCATAACCAGGTGAACTATGTATGACAGGGACTATAGTCTTCAATATGGATTGAAGCATAACATCAAGAAGACAAAGATTCTCACTACTGAGCCAACTGGTAGATTCATGATTGATAGAGAAGAGACTGAGGTTGTGAACAATTTCAGCTTGTTTGAGTCCACAGTCAACACACTTGGGACGAGCAGTCAGGAAATCAAAAGACAAACTGCACTGCGAAAGTCTTGTCAGGGATCTCTCCAAAATGCTAAAGAGTAATGATGTCCATCTAGAGACTAAGGTGTGCCTGGTCTAGGCCATGGTGTTCACAATTAGTAACTACGCATCAGAGAGCTGGACAACGACTAAAGATGACAGAAGAAGACTTGATGCCTTTGAGTTGTGGTGCTGGAGAAGAGTACTGAGCATACCACTGACTGCCAGGAGAACAAATAGGTCTGTCTTGGAGAGGGTGAAACCAAATTTCTCCTTGGAGACAGGATTTTGAAGGTCCATCTCACATACTCTGGACATGTGGCCAAAAGAAAGCAGTCCTTGGAGAAGGATATCATGCTTGGGTGGAGGGACAGCACAGAAGAGGAAAAACCCATATGAGATGGATTGACTCCTTAGTAACTAGAGCAAAGGGATTAGATGTGTCAGTCAGTGAGACTGGCTCAGGATAGGACAGGGTTCAGATCTACTGTACATAGGGTCACTATGAGTCACAGCAAACTCGATGGCACATAACAACAACAACATACATGATAAATTGTCTTGTCAAGTCTCTTAAGAGCTAGTTATCATTTATCTTGAGAATATGTACAGTGTCTGCATAAAGTAATTTAGCATAGTCCTTAAACTGAACAAAATTCTAGGAACCTATCAGCTATATAAGTTAAGAAATTCATTACTTTGTATTTTTATTGTAGAAAAGAAAATTTTAATTTGGCATTAGAACATTATAAAGAACAAACAAAAAATAATTCAAGTGAAGCTTCTTAAAAAGTGAAAAAAGTAATTAAACCACAGAACTAAATGAAACAAAATGTAAAAGCCTATCCAATCAGGATAGGTGGATTCATGTCTTTCTTCCTTTTGCATTAATAATGTTTCACAATTCAGTAAAAAACTAAGATTTATGACCCTGTAAATATCTATTTATGTGTAAGTTTCTAACAATGGAGAAACTTAGTGCCACCAGTGAAAAAGATCTTTGTGACTGTTTTTTTAGAATTAAATAACATTTTTAAAATAAATAAATATTTACAAACCTAGGCCCAATAACAGGGATGAGTAAGACATCCTGAACGTCTGGATGCTGAAGAATAGGAACACTTAATCCATTAAACTGCTGTTAAAAATAAGCACATAGACAAAAAAAAAAAATCCCAAATCAATAAACTTGTTAATATTCAAATTATGAAGCTTTCAGTATCATTATTACCAGGGTATGAAGTTAGGCTTGGTACACATACTATAAGAATAAAAACAATCTCAAAACAACAATGTCTTTTCTACAGTTTGAAGCATTCAGTCTTTTTTCTAAAACTCAATTTGTTTACTAGCTGGCTTTCTAAACCCAACAATGTTTATCTTTTGTGGGTGCGTGTGATTCTTTTTTTTAATTGGTTTGCATATAAAATTTGTAAACATTGTTTCCCTTCATTCACACAGTGTTTCATACCATCATTCCCATATATTGTGTTTTACAAACTTAATCCTCATTGAATTATACCCACCTTTACTCCGTTTTTTCAGGTCCCTGCCAGATCTTTCCCATTACCTTTACCCAAACCCTCCACCCACCAAATAAATGGTGTGATCCTATGATTTTCTCCCTGCCCATCCTCACTCCTCTGCTCCCTTCCCTTCCCCCCAACAATGCTTATCTTACAAGACTTACTTTGAAAATGTATAAATATCCGATAGGGGATTGCACATAGACATCATTTAAGATGAAGCATGTCAATAGAACAGGAATCATGGCAGTAACTGTATACACAACTAAACATTGCATGCCCTATCAGTTTCAGTGAGAGAAAAGGATGCTTTGAGCCGATTCAAGATTTTGCAGACTGCTTAGCAGACTGGAAGCAGGTGCAGGGCCAGTGACGTGCCGGAGCCACTGAACTTAGCACATCCTTGGAGAGCCAGTTGCATGCATTTCCCCCCAAATCCAGTCATCATTATAGTTTGGTGGTGTTATTTTTTTCCCCTTTTATTTTCTTTTGAGTTTTTTATCTAACTTTCTTTTACATTTGATTCTTTCGTACTAGCCTAATATCAGTCATAGTGGGAATACTTACTTACACTATGAAAATGGGCAAATATTATGTTAAAAAATGTCCCAGCTTATCAATTGTATAGACAGAAAATAACTGGGCATATCTGGGCACAATATAATGCAACTATAATATGGAGCCCTGGTAGTGAAGTGTTTAACATATCATCTTGTAACTGAAAGGTCAGCAGTTCAATTCCACCTGCTCCTCTCTGGGAGAAAAATGGGTAGTCTCTTTCCATAAAGATTGTAACTTCAAAACCTTAATGGAGGTTCTGTTATGGGTTGGAACTAACTTGACAGTAGTGGGTTTGGTCTCCAATGCATAGGATGGTACAGGACCAGGCAGTGTGTAATTCTGTTGTAACTGGGACTACTATGAGTCATAACTAACTTGATGGCACTCAACAAAAACAATCACAGACAATGGATGAAAGTTCATTAGGTAAAGTATGTTTTCTTGTGCATATGGTCTCAAAAGGAATTTTTTAAAAATATTTAAAAATTATCATTTCCTTTAAAACAGAATTTGGAAAAAATATATCTGAAAAAGATAAAGAATTTCTTCAATTCAGCAACAAAAAGACAACTCAATCAAAATAAATAAACTTAAATTGAATTAAAATGAGGTTTACAGCTTCTGAAAATTCACTAAAGAGTCATCTATGAGTTGATTTCAAGTTGATGGTACACAGTAACACTGCTGCAATACACATAAACTTTGAAAAATTATGCCAAGTGAAATATGTCAAATAAAAGTTAAATAAGTGAAATAAAAGGACAAATATTCTATGATTACATATACATGAAACTTCTAGAATAGGCAAACATACAGAGACAGAGTGTAGATTAGTGGTTGAGGGTAGGAAGGATGAAGAGTTAATGCTTAGTACAGAGTTTCAGTCAGAAGTGACCAAAAAACTAGTGGAAGAATAAGATTTGTATAACATTATAAATATACTTCATGCTAGTCCATTTGCTGTGCATAGGTAACTCGTAGTTGCTATGAAGCTGAACACTGTGACACTGATATGTCAAATGTGACAATGGTTACCCATGGTGGGCAGTGTTTGGTGGAGCTCCTCGATTAAAACAAGCTTGGAAGCAAGAGTGGCATCCACTTCCGAAATAGCTTGCCTCCAGAAACTATGAACTTGGAGAAGTGTTCAGGTCTTTCGTTCATAGGGTCGCTATGAGTCATCTACAATTTGAAAGCACTTAACAACAACTGAGTTAGGTAGATAAAAATAGTTAAAATGACAAATGTTATGTCACATGTATTTTATAATAAAAATATTAAATGAATATTGATGATTACTTTATTGTAAGATAATCCATAGAATAATTAGTACAATTAATTATAAAAAATGCATTTTTTCTAATTTTTTATTTCTATTAAAAATAGTAAGAGACATTACACACACTTTTTATTTCAAAAATAGAATCAAAAAAGTATCGAAAATGTGTCTCTCTACCTATAGATTAAGGAGCTCTGTTGACCTAGTGGTAAGAAGTTGCACTACAATCCCAAACACTTTTTTCAAATCCACCAGCTGCTCCATAGAAGACTAGGCATTATCTTCCCATGCAATTTACTGCCTCTGAAAACCCACTGGGGCGTCAGCTTTGTGTCAGTTTCAACTCTATGGCACACAACAACTATTTTTAGAATCTTCCCCGCTCTGCATTCTGTTCTTTTAGTATGTGTCTTCTACTTAGTACAAAATTTGACTTTGAAGCTTTGAATATATCTTCTTATACATTTTAAAGACAAAGCAATTAAGTCCTGAGAGGTTGTTGTTATTTGGGTTATTTTTTTGGTGGGTTTTTTGTTGTTGTTGTTGGTTTGTTTTTGTTTTGTTTTGTTTTTTTGTGGTACCAAGAGTGGGGTTTATTATGGAAATAGGTTGTGGAATGGGAAAGAAGAAAATCTCACAATACCAGTCCAGGTTTAGTTCAGCACTCCCAAGCCAGATTAAGAGCAAAACACAATTCTTTAATTAGTAAAAGTCCTGGTTTTAGTTCAGCAGTGAAATCCAAATCATCCAGCAAGGTTTGCCTCAGAGCAGTTATAAGTCAGCTTCTCCTTCAATCATAGGCAAGAACAGCAAAATCTTTAACTGTGGCCTTTATCTCAGGGCTCCTCTGGTTATACCTTGCCACAGTCTATCCACCACCATCAGCAGGGGCTCACCACCAGGTGCTCATTCTCACTAGGGTCTTTCTGCCCAGTGTGGGAAGCTCGTGCTCGCTCACGCTCGCTCGTTCGTTCTCTCTCTCTCTCTCTCTCTCTCGCTCTCAGCATAGTCCCGCAGCTGTTGATAATTTGCAAGACCATGTGTCTGCAGTTAAGGTAGCTGGAGACCAGAAGGGGGCTAATAGCTAAAAAAGTCAACTTTTAAGCTACCACCATTCACCTTAATCAGGATTTTATATGAAGCTGAACTTTGATCCTTGTCAAATTTGATCTTGCTTCACAAGTTACTCTCAATTACAGCATTTTGGAGTTTCAGAGTCTGACGATTAGCCTCTTCTCTTCGGTGGTCTTGGAACAATTTTGTCCCTTTGGTCATCAATGTGCAGAATGCTTTGTTCAATACATGAGCCTTCTAATGCATCTTGCAGATATTCACACAGAAAGAGTAGCCCCAAAGGCCAAGCTCGCCTTTCTGAAATGCCTGATCTCTGTCCTTGGCATCCTTAGTCTGATGCTAGTTAAAATGCCTGCTCTGTGGGATGGGCCATCTTCTCAAAGTGCAATTAACTGCCTCTCAAAACCTGCTAGACGCTCAGCTATAAGTCAATTTAGACTCTGCAGCACACAATAACAAAATGTTTTAAAATGCCTGAGTTCTGTCTACCCAGTTGTTTTTCCATTTCAGTGAAAGGGTTGGTGTTAATGACGTAGCCTGCTACAAAAGTAGAAATTCAGAGTTACCTTTTTAAAACAAAGCACTCTCATATTTAACACTGTTTAAAACTATTCAGGGATTCCCTATAGTTAATGATTTATTTTTGTCAGCCTAATTGGCCATCATTCTCTTTACTCATTTCAAACAGAATGACAATTTTTGCTCAGAGTATTGGGTGGCTTTGTACTATAACAACTTGACTAGGCTGTACTTCCCAGAGCCTCTTTTCTCTAACGTTTCTAGTGATTGTGGTCAGCCATGTTGCAGCTCATGCATGTTGTTGGCATGAATAAGCAGCTGAGTTGTCAGTATCTCCAGCTTTGGGCTAGATGTGTATGTTGTTCTGTAATGAATGGTGCCAACTTCTGTAGCACATACACACCATTAAAGTTAAGTTGTTTCTTAAGGAAGGTAGCAAGAAACAAGACCTCTCTTACTGGAGGACAATGGGTACTCATGTGATGGCTGCAACAGGGGGTCTGGGGCTATGCTGTCTTGAGGAACATCTCACACTTACGTGGATCTGGATTGACCCTAAGGAACTGGCTCATGTGCTGAAGGCTGGCAAGTGCCTAGTGCAAAGGTCAGTTTGCCTTCTGATTTCCTGACTGCTGGTGCCAACAGCAGTGATTGTGGAGTCGAGCAAGCTGAAGTTGTTAACAAGCTCAGTCTCTTCTCCATCTATCATGGTGCTGCCAATTGGCCCAGTGGTAAAAATCTTTTTTGTCTTCTTGATATTAAACATCAGTCAATTTTGAAGCCTATTGTATTTGACCCTCTGCAGCAAAGACTTCAGGTCCTCCTCAGTTTTGGCAAGCTAGGTTGTGTCATCTGCATAACTCAGGATGTTGATGAGTTTTCTTCCAATCTTGATGCCACATTCTTCCTCATAAAGTGAAATACTGTACTACATGCATGAATCTACAATAAATTATGCTGAGTGACATAAGTCAGTCAGAAAGGATAAATATACAAATATGAAAAGCTAAAGAAAGATTTATACACATCAACTTTGGAGTGTTAACAGAGATAAGAAAGAAATGAATATGAGCAAATATTAATAAGCTAGGTGAAAAGCAAGATGCAATAAGGGTTTGAGTACACATTAATTACATTAATCATTTATAAATGTTATAATACAAAATGTCTATGAATGATTGAATGCAACCCAATATTATTTGTAAACTTCCAATTTTTTTTAAAAAGCAAAATAATAATGCATGTCATTAAAAGAAACAAACAGTAGTACTTAGTACTAAGACAAGCACTACACGACATTTTTTAAAAAACACCAATTGTTTGCACAAACCTTCTGAAGTTCATCAAGTAACAGGTTTTTCACATGTTGTACTGTGGTTAAATGTGTATTCACCCTGACAGTTGTGAAGGATGGAGGATGTGACAGGTGACTTAAGAGTGTCTCAAATTTTCTTTCAACTTTCTGTTTACCTAAAAAAGTTACAATCTGAAAAGAAAAAGTTGAGGTTTCAATTTCAATATATGACTTCAACATATTAAGCAGAATATGTTTCCATCTTTTTATATGTAAATCTTTTAGCATTTATTCAGTTTTATCTCATTTTGCTGTATTGTCTTCATATCAATAGAGTAAAAAGAATGGTAATATTGGATTAAGTCATCCTAGCACAATGCCTTACATTAAGGCTTAAGAAGCAATCAATGCCCCAACATTAGAATACTTATTAAAACTGTGTAACATTACTATCTCCTATACTTAGTCATGTAAAACCAAAACTTTATTCTACTTACCTGTATAATGCATTAATTGTTTTTCTCAATTTTTAATAACTATTTGTTTGCTAATCTCACCTGTTGGAGTAAATTGGCAAATAGCCTTTCAAACACTAATGTGAACAATAAGTAATGTTGATACTCATTTTCATCCAAAAATTCTATCAGCATTTTTACATGGTATTATTAAATGTAACCAAATAGATATAGTCAAAAAAGATGAGTAGCATATACCTGTCAGAAATAAAGGCTCATGCATAAAGGCTCATGCAACCAAATTCCCTCATAATTAACTGAAGTTTTTCAAACTTTGTCAAATTTCACAATGCCCTGCTCAGTAAAATATTCATGATCAATTTGCGAGACTACTAGTCCACCAGCTTACAAGCATTAATTAGTACTTTCTCAAGACTTGTTTTGTATTAAAACAATATTAATTTCCTAGAGGAGCTCTGGTGGCCTAGTGGCAAGAAGCTGCACTGCGATCCCAGAGGTGTTCGGGTTCTAATCCACCAGACGCTCTGCTGGAGAAGGAGGGATAATCTCCTCCTGCCCAGTCAGATCCAATTTGACTGATGGTACACATACAAAAAATAATAAAAAATTAAAAAATATATTCATTTCCTTTGATAGCTCGTACAAAGGAATGATTTTTCTTTTTGTAAACGATGTAATTGACAGTTGTAGTGATTGCTATGTGCCGTGGTGTTGGAACTGACTCATAGTTGACCTACCAATGAGTTTTCAGAGGCAGTAAATCACTGAGGGAAATTGTCCATCCTTCTATCTCAGAGCAACTGTCTTTGGATTAGTAGGTAACATTACTACTAGGTCAAGTGAGCTCCCAACTGTCAGTGGTAGTAGCAGAAAGATACTGGATCTTCTTTTATAATCATGCCCATAATTTTAAAAATTGCTGCATGTGTGGTTGCTTTTAACCCATATTTAGTAGTAAGGCTGCCAACCCAAAGGCAAAAAAAAAAAAAAAAAAAATCCACCAGCTGATCCATTGGTGAAAGATGGACAATCTTCTCCCATGAGATTAACTGGCTCTAAAAAACCTGCTGGAGAGTCAGCTAAGAGTCAGTTCCTACTTGACAATACATAACATATTTTAAAACTTAAAAACACCCCAGGGAGCTCAAGTGTGTAGTCCATAAGGAGTTGCATTGCTAACCCAAAGGCAGCACTTTATTGGCGGTTCAAGTCAACTAGTGTTTTGATGGTAATAAAATATTAACTCAACATGCCTTCCAGTTGGAAGTGACTCATAGCTAACCCTCCAGAGGACTTTTTGAAGTTGTAAGTCATAAAAGAAAATTACCCATCTTACTCCCTCAGAGCTGCTGCTGAATTTGAACCACCAGAGAGGGTTCAACCTTTCGGTTAGCAACTCAACTTTCTAAGCAAGAAGCCACTAATGTTGAGCAAGTTTCCTTAGTTAAGGATTGACTGACTATCAACTAAGAACCAGTGGCCTAGTAGTAAGAACCTAGGCTGAAAGCACAAACTTCTCCGCAGAGAGAAGGAAGAGTAATCTCCTCCCATGCGATTTACTCCCTAGTAGGATGATTAGCTATGAGGAGGTTTTGACTCTCTGGCACACAAGTACAAGAATCGTGCCAGTACTTTCATTTATGTTTAACATCCTAAAGCAACCTTGTAAGATTAAGTATTATTAACTACTTCTATTTCCAAAGAAGAGGAAACAAGGGTGAAAGTTACAAAATCTGCAAATAACACAACTGGTGTGATTTATGAGGCAGTCAACAAACGGTACTATTTTTCCCTTGGAGTGCCAAAGCAAGAGCTCTAAGAATACTTACGTATTTTCTTTACTGAATTTTGAATTCTTGAGAACAGGAAGCGTATTTATTTTTACAGCCCTTTGCCACCCCATCTACTGCCAAACACATGGCTAGTTTCTTCCTTCTCTTTCCTGCTAAAGATTATATATTCCCTTTTATTAAAAAAATCTCAGTAAGCTAATACTGCATTAAACACATGTATAAAAAATAGCAGTTCCTAGGTTGCACAAATGGCTAAGGGGCTGGACACCAACATAAAAGTTGAAGTTCACTCAAAAGGACTTGGGAATCGGCTCTACGTCTGCAAAAACCAACCAAAAAACCCAACCCAACACTCTACCAACCAGCAGATTGCCGCTCCGAGAGATCCTGTGGAAAAGAAAAAAAAGGTGCCCCCCCCCCCCCACCCCGAGGCTTTCCAGGCTGTGAATCTTTCTGGAAATTAGCATGATACATCTTTCTCCCACATAATAGACAAATCGTAAGCAATGACAGCTGTAACGGTTAGATTTCCTTTTAGAATGTTTTCTGTTCATGGGGTGTAGACGAGAACTTTGCAAAGCATCTTCCATTATCTGACCTACCTCCTTATTCATAAAGCCCTCTTTGAGATGGTTTTCAACCTCAGGTCTCAGAAATATTTTAGGGAAAAGAGACATTTTTTTTTTCCCACCTACAGTCTAGGTTTCCATCCAGACAGATGCTGGAAAGCGGTAGGTTTTTGTCTTTCCAATCTACAATGAGCAGTGTCTTAATAAATAAATAGCCAATCACAAAATGCTGAGATGACCAGAAGTGACCCAGTGAATACGCCGATCTTGTAGAGTCAAATTTGGAGATGTGATGGCACATCCATGCTTTTTAAAGAATTTAGCAAATTTACAGGCGGCTTCCTCGTTTCTTTCACGCCTGTCTCATTCTCTTTAGCGATGCTCACTGCTGAAATTACTGTAAGACAGTATTGCTCCCGTTGTAAAAAGATCCAAAATTTCAAAAGCCTTCACGGGGGTGGAAAAAAAGGCTTCACGGCGAATCCATAGTAAACGATGCATACAAAGAAAACCAATCACACATAAAGGTCCTCTCGGAAACTCAACATCAGGTCCGAATTTCCAAATGAGAGCTTTCAATCTCACTGACGAAAGTCCCCTCCCTTCCGGAAGCGTCACTTCCGGCATCCAGAGCAGCCCGCCCCCTTCCGATCCCGTTTCTGTAGCTTGAGAACTCTTCTACGTCACATCTCCTGAGGTTCTGAAAGCTGCGGTTGGGGCAATGCCTATAGCACTGGGCGGGGTGGCACTGCATGGAGGTAGTGGCGGGCGGCCGAAGGCATAACCTTCCAGGTCATGCACTTGGCAAGGGAGTGGTGGCCCAGTGTGGGTTGAGTCTAAGACATTACTGCCTCAAATAAGGTAAAGGCATCTTTTAGTGCCCTTTTGGATGACTTCCAAGTAGAGAATGAGGTTAAAGTTTAAATAGACTCAGCCACTTTTTGTTTCCTAATACACAGACTTAAAACCTACCTCCTCTCATAATGTCATTGTTAAGTGCCATCATACACTTAAAACTTTACTTCCCAAGGACAGTTCAAACCCACCAGCTGCTTTGAGGGAGAAAGATGAGCAGTCTCCTCCGGTGCGATATGTTGTTGTTGTGTTGTGCAGTCGAGTCGCTTGTGACTCATAGTGACCCTGTGCCTCCAAAACCTTACTAGAAGGGTCAGTTATGGGTGTGTTCTTGGCCTAGGCATAAACGTTGTATGTTGTTGTTATGTGCCGTCGTGTCGCTTGAAGCTCATAACAGCACCCGATATACAATAGTCTTAAGCCCTGCTCTGTCCTGTGCCAATCTCACTGTCACACACACCCCAATTAGCCTAGTCAACTGAATCAATCCACCTCATAGAGGGTCTTCCTCTCCTGCCCTGTCCCTTCACCCTCCCAAGCATGACGTCCTTGCAACATGTCCAAAGTATGTCAGACGAAGCTTCAGAATCCTTGCCTCCAAGGAGCAATCAATCCGGTTTAACCCTCTCCAGGACGAACCTGATCATTTTCTTACCAGTCCATGGTGCGTGGAATACTCTTCTCCAACACCATAGCTCAAAGGCATCAGTTCTCCTTCTATCCTCCCTGGTCATTGTCCAGCTCTCTGACGCATAGCAAGTGATTGCAAAGACCATTCCCTGTATCAGGCACACTTTAGTCCCCAGAGTGACACCATTGCTCGTTGGTACTTTGGCGAGGTCCCTAAGAGCAGACTTGCCATCGCAATATGTCTTTTAATTTCCTGGCTGCTGGTGTCAAGAGAGTTGACTATGGAGCCAAGCAAACTAAAGCTGTGAACAATCTCAAATCTCTTTTTCATCCATCCTGATGCTGCCAGTTGACGCACTGGTGAAAATCTTGTCTTCTTAATAATTGAGCCTCAATCCATATTGAAGGCTGCAGCAAGCACTTCAGGTCCTTCTCAGTTTCAGCAAGCAGACTTGTGTCATGAGCACAATTAAATGTTCTGGGGTTATCATTCTTCTTGGTATTAGCCTTAATTTATTATGATCCACTCAGTCAAATGCCTTTGCATAGTCAATAAAACACAAATAGGCATCCTTCTGCTGTTCTTTGGTTTTTGATCCATCTGATATATCTGCAGTGCTGCTATGGCTGCATCTAAATCCAGCTGAATTTCTGACAGTTCAATATACAGTTCTAGTCAGTTTTTCATAACCTTCAAGATTATACTTGCATGTGATGTTAGTGTTCCACATTCTGTTGAATCACCATTTTTTTGAGAGTTGAGATAAATATTAATCTCTTCCACTCACTGAGCTCGTGGGCAGCAGCTGTATGTTGAAACCTGTCAGTTGGATCCCACCAACTCCTGAGGCCTTATTTTCTGCCTCTAATTTACCAAATATCCAGACAACCAAACCCACCGCATTGAGTCAGACCTTCCACTGAATTTTCACACCTATAAATCTTTATGTGACATTGCCCTCCTGTAGAGCAGCAGCTGGATTTGAACCATTTAAGCTTTTTCTTAGCAATCAGTTCATATGAAATTAACTCATCCTTGAGAGCTCCATTTACCAAATATAACTAAATGTTCCTGATGTCCATAACACAGGGCCTCATGGCCAGGAGTCATGCCTATTTATGACCACCATTCATGACCTAGCCAGCAGAACCAGTTCTATCAGCTTTTTTCATCTACCAGTGTGTACTTACCTCAGTCAAAGTCTATTGCTTACTTCTGTAGTCTTTGGATTCACAATCAACCGTCATGGAAGCTGCAATAAAAAAAATTACATAATATATTGGGCAACATGTAATTGGGCAAGTAATGTTGGGGAGGATATGGCAAGATAGGAACTCTTACGCTTTGTTGGTGGGATTGTAAAATGGTATAACCACTCTGGAAGGCAGTTTGGCACTTCATCAAAAAGGTGAACATAAAAATTCCCTATGACCCAGCTATTCCACTGCTTGGAGAACTGAGGCACAAAAGGACACATGGACACCATTGTTCATAGCAGTATTATTCACTATTGCAAGAACATGGAAACAGCCCAAATGTCCAACCACAGTAGAATGGTTTGAGAAATCATAGTACATTCACATGATGGAATAATATGCAGCACCCAAGAGCAATGATTTTGTAAATCACTACCTAACTTGGGAGGGACTGGAGAACATTTTACAAAGTAAACAAACGCAGTCCCATAAGAGCAAATATTGTATAAGACCATTATTGTAGAAGTATGAGAATCCAAAGGGGGGGAGGGGGGAGCAGAAGGCTGTGGTTGGGTAGGACCAGGTTGAGGGGTGTTAATCATAGGGTCCTACGATTTGGGGGGGGCAAGAAAATGGGAAAGACCCAGTGTGAAAAACAATGTATATGAACTTTGTAAATAAGCCAATATATTTTTTAAGGGAAAAGAAGTTTTAAAAAGGAAAGACTTCACCTTGAGGATTATAATACTGTGGTATTTTCAGTTGCCCAATCCTTACTCAAACAAAAGCTTGGCAATGAATAGGGAAGAGCATAGAAGAACTGGTACATTTGTTTTTTGTTTGTTGTTTTTTATATTAGAACTGATATATTTTAATTATAGGGTTGACAAAGAATAGTGACTATACTATGGACTACAAAAGGGACAAACAAATATGTCCTCAAGCATTATAACTAGAATGCTCCTTAGAGGCAAGGACAGTGAGATTTCATCTCTTGTACTTTGGATCTACTTTCAGGAGGGACAAGTCTCTGAGAAGGACATTATGCTTAGCATGAGAGGGGCCATTTGAAAAAGAAGACTCTGCTACACAGCAAGAAAATAAATAAAGGAAAAGAAAAAGATCAGCACATAACAACAATGGATTGAACATAAAGGCTACAACTGTAAACTTAAATGATTGGTAGGATGCAGATGGTAGATGCCTTAGGGTTGATATGAGTCAAAATTAACTGATTTCTAAAAACAACTTTTTTTTTTTAGAACTGATAGATGGTTATGGTACATCAGTGTTTCCTTCTGTCTGTCATGTTGATTTTAATTAGAATTGACTCAAAATCCCTTAGCAACAATTTTTTTAGTTAATTGATAGTTATGGTAGGTACAGCATCATTATTTTTGTTTAAATAACACCATTTTGTTAAATGGGGCATAAAAGTTGCACAAGAAAAATAGACAGTATTTTCTGGTAAAGAGTTACAGTCATAGAAACCTAATGAATGGTCACTATGAGTTAGACTAGACAGCAGTGAATCTGAGTTTATATTCTCTTACTCATATTAACTTTTCAGCATTGTCTAGATTTCTTTCCCGCAACTTAATAAAACTTTCAAATTTCTAAATCAGCAACTAAAACATTTTAATAAAATTTTAAAAATTAAAATAGCCTTATAGTCACATATAATTTTTTTTCTCTTTATCACATATAATTTTTTGTAGAAAAGATTTTTTAAAAGTAATTATACCATTTCTTCAATGTAAAGTTTTCTGATTTCAAGAGTAGTATTGATAAAATTATCAATAACCCTATTTAATTATTTTCATTCTGCTTGATTAAAAGTGAAATAATAAGGCTCAATGTCAAGAAGACAAAGATTCTCACCACTGGACCAATTGGTAGCATCAGGATGGATGGCAACAAGATTGAGATTGTTCACAGCTTCAGTTTGCTCGGCTCCACAGTCAACACTCTTTTTTTTTTTTTT